CCTGCTCTCGACGCTGGACCGTTGCATATGTATTAGTGAAATCAAAACGAGTTAGCCCAAAGCTTACGGTAAAGGGTACCCAAGCGAGCTACGCACCGTTTGTTCCCGTTCGAGCACTCCGGGCAGAAAGTATTTCGTAAACTTGCGAGGCTTGACCTTGTAGATGGCACAGACTTTGCATGATCGGTGGCGTCGCTTCACACCCTGCTCGCAATCGACAGTATCTGGGTTTCTTCTAAACAATGTCCGTCGATAGCTGACGATGCGCTTCCTTGTAGTTGTGTTGAATCTGCTCTTGCCGGCGAGGGGGCAGTTCTATCTTGCGCAGATGTCGCTTGCTGTTCCAATACAGTCAAGCCCACCATAAGTTAGTTGCTATGTTGGAAGACTGCTGAAGCAGATGAGATTATGTTGACTGGTCAACATTTGACTTACCTCAATCTTGTCAAACGCTTCGATTGAATCTACTGCCAGTAGCTGCTCCATCAATTCCTCAAAAAACGAGAAGTGTTTTGGCGAGCGCCTGCTGTTTACCTTTCGATAGTGTCGATGAACGATAAACGCGTTCACGAGCGCCATACCCAGAAGCCCCAAAAACAGAGTCTTGTAGTACTTGCGTGTTTTGTAGCAAAGTTGCACGCTGTAACGTTGCAACCGGAGTTGATCATGGACGTCGACTCCACCCATCCAGCGGTAGTAGCCGCGAACAAGCTCTGGAGCCGGCACCGGCGTCATTTCACCGTGGATGCGTCTCACTAGAATACAAATACAATTTGTGCTAGCAACCAAATAGGAACCCAATGCATGTAGTACGTACTCACGGTGCCGGTTTGGCGGCTGCCCCCACTTGAGAGCAGGTGCACCGGGTTAAGGTCCAGCACATGGGATACCATGCGATTGAACGTGGCGGGAGCATTCTTCAACCCTTGCGGCATAACAAGCCACTCCCAGAGCATACCACTGGGAGTGCTTACCGCTGTGAGCGGTATATCGCTCAGCCTCATGAGGATTTGGTAGAACCCATCGGTCAAGTCGATGGCGCTGAAGACCTCACTACCCGACATTGCGTCGAGCACCATGTCCTTCCGAGGAATCGGCGTCTGGGCAGGGATGGTAGCGTCGTTTAGCTTGTTGAAGGCATGGACGATGCGCCATCCGACCGTGGCTTTCTTCACACAGAAGGTCGGACTGGAGTGCGGCGATGTGCTCTCACGCACATGACCCGCCTTGCGGCGGCTCTCGAAGAAGTCATCGATAGCTTGGACCTGATCTCGCGGGAGCGGCCACTGCCGCGTCACACAATACTTCGAGCCGGGCACGAGATCAATCTCGTGGCGAATTCCTCGGTCAGCTGGCAACTCAGCTGGGATCTTATCCGGAAAGACATCTTTATATTCGCGGGCGGTCTCGTAGACTGGATTGCCGGATTCGCGTAGCGCGTCCCAAGACTGCGCTGCGAAGCGCTCCTCGCGGGCCGACTTCGGCTCAGCGCGCTTTGGGCGCGAGGGAGCGTCGCCGTCACTGACTGCATTCACTTCGAGCGACGCCGAATCGGCGTCGGTGATCAGGCAAACCTGTTCGATTTCATCGTCCTTGAGGCCGCGAAGAAAGTTCTTTTAGGAGAGACCTGGACCGACAAACTCTCGGCGCGAACGAAGTTGTTCGTCACGCCTGAATCGAGCAGCGCAGAGATTCGACGAAACATCGAAAAGGAAATGACGAATCCACAGCCATGGTAGCAAAAGAAAACGTAGGATCGCTCGGACTGACGTACGGGCATCGCCCTTGTAGCTCAATGGTAGAGCTCCGGCCTGTCAAGCCAAAGGCCAGTGGTTCGATCCCCGTGCGGGACACCACTTTCGCTGTTACAGCGCATCCACATTTGGATCATGCTCATCGAGCAAGTTGTTTCAAAACAACTATGCGTCTATCGAGACGCTTGTGCCTGAACCTTGTTCAGCACAACACGAAGCACCTGCTTCCTTCGGGACCATGTCCCTAACACTACGAGGTCTCTCCACCTCCTGCTCCCGCTGCGAGCACCGCTCATACGTACGAGCTGGCTGCTGCAGCCACTGGTCAGAGCCTGAGCTCAACTACTGACCTCAACGCTCCCCACTCTAGTGGGAGGCGCCCAGCGCCTGGCGACGCTGTCGCACGCCATGGTGGCGCTTCGGCACATGATGTGCCCGGTCGTAAGCGTCAACGACGTCAGGGCAATTTTGCCGGAGGATAACCTCAAACTCCCATGAGTTCTGTGAGTGAGGGTAACCCCTCCACTTCACTAAGTACTGGGTACGACCCTGGCGTATACGCCACGCCACAAGGCGTTCCACGTGAAAGTGGAGCTCACCATGCTCATCGAGCAGAGCAGGAGGAGGCCTTGCCTCAGCTGGGCTCTCGCGGGGAGAGTCAGCACTTGCCGGAACGGCGCCTGCGTCCATACGACGCCGGCGTCCACGACGCGAACGTTCACCGCCCATCGGTCGATCTCGAAGAGATGATCCACCTTGTGGATAGGTTAGAGCCACCACTGTTGACTCACAACCAGGTCTCGGACCTCGAGCGTCCAGGCGCTCGGCTGGACGCTCAGCTTGCCTCAGCTCGAGCACTTCGCTCCGCGGCCTGTGGCTCTGCCACATGCTGTTGATCAGCCATCTGTGGATCCACCACTTGCTGTCGTTCAGCATCCCGTGGCTCTACCACCTGCTGCCCTGCAGCTGTCCGTGGCCCAGCCACCGCTGGTGCCAACGCCTCCGCGCTCACCTGAGCAGGGTCTTGGTATGGCTTAAGCAAGCCGACATAGAAGACCGGATGCGTGCGCATCTTCTTCGGAAGGTTGAGCGTATACGCTAGGCCCTTCCTGGCCACGACCTTGAACGGTCCTATGAACCGAGGTCTTAACTTCGTCTTGAAGACTGCAGA